GTGGTTAAGACTCCACACTTCCACTGCAGGGGGCATGGGTTCGATCCCTGGTGGGGGAACTAAGATCCCACATGCCGAACAGCGCGGCCAAAAGAAAAAGAAAAGAAAAAAAACAACCCAAATGAGCTTATCTACGAAACAGAAACAGACTCACAGACATAGAGAGCAGAACTGTGCTTGCCAAAGGGGAGGGGGGGCGAGGAAGGGACGAATTGGGAGTTTGGGATTAGCAGGTGTAAACTATTATATACAAACTGTATAAACAACAAGGTCCCACTCAGGAGCACAGGGAACCATATTCAATATCCCGTGATAAACCATAATGGGAAAGAATATGAAGAATGTATATGTACGTATAACTGAGTCACTTTGCTGTACATCAGGAGTTAACAAAACACTGTAAATCAACTATACTTCAACTTTAAAAAAAGACACCAAAAACAAACAACAACAACAAAAAACAAAGCCCCAGAGCGTTTCTCACTTTCTATCGTCCCACAAGCCTTACATATTGAACGTTTCTACCCACTAGAACGGCCCGAGGGCACGCAGGTTTTCACCCCCCCGCTTGGCCACGCCGCGGAGCAGGAGGGATCTGAGTTCCCCGACCCGGTAGCGAACCCGTGGCGCCTGCAGTGGAAGCGCCGAGTCTTCACCATTCGACCGCCAGGGAAGTCCCAGGCACTTCCATCTTTTTTCATCACCTATCCACCTCAGTGCTTAGACCAGAACCTGACCCACAACAGGTTCTCAATGAAGGTCTGTTGAATGAATAAACGAACCTCACTGAGTGGAACACAAAATTCACCCTACAACTGTATGACACTCATGTGCTTCCAAACTTCTGAACAAGGGGCGGGCACACGTTTTCTGCAAAAGGCCAGACCTACGTATTTTTGGCACTGCAGGGCCAGACAGTCTCCGTCCTGACTACTTAACTCTGCCAGTATGTCTTAAAGGCAGCCAGGCGCTTCCTCCTCCCCTTCCTGCTGGGGTCTCTGGGCCGCCTCTCCCCCGCCCGACCTGGGCTCCCCCTACCTTCCCGGGCCATGGCGGTGAAGACTAGGTCCTCGGCGGGTGCCCCCCGCACGTCTTCCAGGATCTGCTCCACCGTGGGGGGCGCCGGGCGGGTGGGCAGCACCACGCGCTTCTTGGCCTTGGAGCCCATCTCTGCAGGTGGGAGAAGGGGAGCATGGACCGGGCCGTTCCTGCCGCCCAGCAAAACCTACACACGCTCCGGAACCCCGCTCCCGGGGAAGCCCGTCCTGCCCCGCTCCTCCCAGGGCCGAACAGCACAGGGCCAGGGGGTTCGGCCTCCGTCTCCACCCAGGCCCCAGCTTCCCGCTGAAGCCCCCAGTGCGACCGCCTCCTCACCTGGCGTAAAGCCTTCAGCCCGCAGCCGCGGCCCAGTGGCCACTTCCGCTTCCGGTTGGCGCGCGGACCCACCCTACAGGCCCGTGACGCGCACTTCCGGCCTCCTCCGGCTCCCGCCTGCCGCGAAGCCACGCCCCTCTTAAAGGGGCCGGGCCCGCTAGGTTCCGGGTACCATCTGAGCAGCGAAGTTGACTGGACCAGAGCTAATAAGGACGCGCCGGGCCTGGAAGCCCAAGGGGTGGGCGTAGGGTCCAATCCCGGCTCTTCTCGTTGCCTAACAAGGCATCCGAAGCCCGGTTTTCTGCAAAAGGGGGACACGGCCCCCAACGTGGCTGTCGTGGGAACAAAGTTACTGTGCAGCCCACGCCAGGTGGCGGGCGGAGAGCGAGCGCTCCGTGAATGCCAGCTGCGCCAGCCCCAGCGAGGTGGCCAGGGGCGTAGCACGCGCGTCTGGTCCGGCCTCCCAGATCCCCGTCAGGCTCACCTCTCCTGTCTCTAAAACCCCCTCCCCACAGGGGTGGGGGCGTAGCGCTGGACGTTAATCTCGGCCCCTCCCCTCTTGGGTAGCGTGGGAAGACAGGCTCAGAGCCCAGGGAGGTTTTTGCGTTTCTAAACAACTTTATAAAAAGTAATTTACAGGGAATTCCCTGGCGGTGCAGTTGTTAGGACTCTGCGCTCTCACTAACGAGGGCTTGGATTCAATCCCTGGTGGGGGAACTAAGCTCCCACATCCCAGAAGACGCAAGGCGCGGCCAAAAAAAAAAAAAAAAAAAAAAAAGTAATTTACATACCATACAGTCCACCTGTTTAAAGCGTACAAGTCAATGGTTTGGGAATATATAGAGAGACCTGTTCTGGACGTTTCCCATCAGTGGAATCACACACCGTGTGTCCTTTTATGCCTGGCTTCTCTCACTGAGCATCGTGTTCTCCAGGTCCATCCATGTCTTGAGGGGTGTCAGTGCTTCACTCCTTTTCATGGCTGAGTGATGCTCCCGTGTGTGGAGGGACCACACTGTATCTATTCATTCACCTGTTAATGGATGTTTAGGCTGTTTCCACATTTTTGCTGCTGTGAACATCCTTGCAAAGGTTTTTGTGTGAATGTGTCTTTAGTTTTCTTGGGCACGTACCTGGCAGCAGAATCGCTGAGTCCTACAGTAATTCTATGTTTAATTGTCTGTGGAACTATTTCCCAAAGTGGCTGCCCCAAGATGGCATGTTTTGGGCACTTACTATGTGCCAGGCGGGAAAACTACCTCTTTGGATCCTTGAGAGTATTTGGTGAGGCAGGTGCCAGGCTTAATGCTGTTGCACGGGTGCAGCCACCGAGGCTCTGAGAGGGAGGCCATGTGCTTCTGGACACACAGACTGGACCTAACTTCAGAACTAGGGGCTGAGCTTGGTGGGACTCTGGGGGCCGTGGGCAGGACTCAGAGAGCAGCTGGCTGTCTCCCCTCCCTCACTAGCCACCTGCTTCCATTGGGTCCAGCTGCAGCCCTAGACAGAGCCCCATTCCCTTCACAGCTTGAGGCTGGCCAACCTGGGCCTGGTGGCCAAGGAGATTCTCAGGGGCCCAGGGCCACTGGATACCGGGGCTGTCTCTGGGGCTCCTGAAACAAACCAGGAGTTCAAGTGAAGGCCATGGTCAAGGCACAACCAGCCTCCACTTCCTTGTGGAAATCGCCTCCCCGCTCTGAAAATCAAGAGGAACATGTCCCCACCCCACTGGTGTGTGTGAGGACAGAGGAGGGACCCTTACTAACTCCATCCATGCCTTACCCCACCCCCACCCCCACACCCCTGCACCTCAGGATCCTCCTTCTGTTCCAGAGAGGTGGAGAACCCATTTTCCAGATGAGGAGGTCAAGGCCTGAAGGAGTAAGATCAATGTACCCCAGCTCACAATTCCCTCAGCCTCCCGACGACCTCAGAAAATAGACAAAGGTGTAATTACTGGAAGCTGGTAGACAGGCTGAGTGGATGGAAAGCTGCGGTGAATTGTCCTTTGCAAATTGCACTTCTGTTAGTTCTCCACGTTAAAGAGAAACTCACGCATAAAGATGGACGAAGAGGGTTTCCCTGGTGGCGCAGTGGTTAAGAACCCGCCTGCCAATGCAGGGGACACGGGTTCAAGCCCTGGTCCAGGAGGATCCTACATGCCACGGAGCAACTAAGCCCGTGCGCCACAACTACTGAAGCCCACGTGCCTAGAGCCCGTGAGCCACAACTACTGAAGCCCGCGTGCCGCAACGAAGAGCAGCTCCCACTTGCCGCAACTAGAGAAAACCCACACGCAGCAACGAAGACCCAACACAGCCAAAAATAAATTAAAAAAAAAAAAAAAAAAAAGATGGAAGAGGAGCCAGAGCCACAGGGGGCCAGGCTGCATCGTGGGGCCTCAGAGGCTCTGCAGCACACGGGTGGGTATCACTTGGGACACTACCCCACCCCACCCCCAGAACCCCAGCTGACCCCTTCTCCAGGGACAGACGCCCCGGGGAAGGCAGATTCCACATGATACGCAGGGGACTCCCACAATCATTCCATGGAGAAGGGACCGGTGCCCCAAAGGAGCCCACAGACTTGCACCTCCTATTCAACCTTTATTTGCAAACTCTGAGGTCGCACGTGGTACCCGAGACCCTGGACGGTGTCATCTGCTCTCCTTCCTGCTTCCCCCATTCCGGAAAGGGAAGGGATGGTGGTCACTGCCGGGCTCTGCCCCATCCTACCCTCTCCCTACCCAAACTGTGCAACGAGACTTCTCTCTCTCTCTCCCCCTCTTTCACCTGGACCTGCCAAGTCCGGGGTGCAGGGTCCCACGCAGCCGCCCCTGGCCCACGGCCTCGGTGGCAGCCAGGGCCTTCCCGGGGCAGGTTCCCACAGGGCGCCCGTCTGGACAGCAGGGCAGCGGTGCCCACCAGTGACCTGGGTGGAGGCGCACGCTAGCTGTCCTTGTCAACCAGCTCTGGGTTCCAGCTTGCAGCGGGGTCTGGAGTGGTGATGGGAGTGGCCCCCTGCTCTGGGGGGTCCCACCCATGGTGGCGGGCAGCCTACAAGGAGGATGCGGCAGAGGAGGGGGCTCCCGAAGGCCACGGCCAACAGGGCCAGCACCACGGCCTGGGCCGGGCCGTGGCGGCAGGGGCAGGCGGTCGCAGTGGGCTGGGGGGGGCCCTCAGGGGGGTCGGGTCCCGAGCAGGAGCCCCGCTGCACGTCCAGCATGGACGGCGGGGGGCAAGCGGTACAGTCCAGCGGGGAGCTGCCGCGGCAGGTGTAACAGGACGGGTGGCAGCTGGAGCAGACCCGCAGGGCAGGCGCGGCTGGGCGCCCAGGTTCAGCCGTCACCGCCTGCTGGGTGTGGTTGAAGTACCTCGGTGGGCAGTAGGTGAGGCAGAGGTGGCCCAGGAGGTAGGCCGGGCTCTGGCATTCTGCACGAGGGAGGGACACGTCCACCGGGCTGTGAGGCCACGACCTGCTGCCCCGGCCCGCCCGTCCCCTGTCCCAGGCCGCACACGCACGCTGCCCACCTGCCGCCTCCCAGCAGGTGGGCCATGCGGCACCGGGCACTCACCCTGGCACGGCCCCTCTGTGTCCCGCTGCACACACGCGCTGCTGGTCCCCTGGGGGCCCGAGGGCCGCGCCGTCATGTCCTCAGCTGTCCCATAGAGCAGCAGCGTGTAGTGGTACAGCGTCCCTGGGCAGGGGTCGTGGTGGGCACGGGGAGAAGAGGGAAAGGCTGTCGGCAGCCTCGTCCTGACATTCTGGGCCCACACCCTCCCCGGATCCCCGGACTCAGATGGTGCCCAGGGTCGCCCAGTACCCTCTAAGCGCTGGTAACTGGATACCTCCTGCCCCTAATACCTGAACCCCTACTGTGCACTGGTAACCAGACACCAATTACATGCCAGCCCTGTGTGCTCAGTCTCTCAGAGGACACCAGCGGGAGCCCTGTGCCTTGGGCTTGGGGGCAGTAAGGAGGCCGCCAGCTCCAGAGCATGGGGCAGGTGGGGCTCGAGCCCCAGCCTGTGCCCGGCTCTCACCTGTGTTGAAATAGTAGCCCTTGTTCTCCAGGACCAGGGTCCACAAGCCGCGCGGGTCCTCGTCCCAGAAGTGGGTGGACATGAAGATCCAGTTGTTGTAGCCTTGGCCACTGACGTCAAAGGGTCTGGAACAGACAGGCAGGCAGGGGGATGAGGGGGGCTTCACAACCAGAGTCCTGAGCAGCCGCGAGCACAGTAAGTGTCTGTGATGCCAAGGGGTGGGGTCCAGCCCGCCTGACCCCACGGGGCACTTGTCTCCTCCTCGTGGGGTTACTCAGGAAAGAGAGTTTGTGGTCTGGTCCCCTGCCCCCGCACCTGATGGCCACAAGCGTGGAGCGGGTGCCCATGGGGCTGGTGAGCGAGATCTCCAAGTCCCCACGGCGGCTGTAGGACAGGGACAGCTGCACCTGCACGTGCTCCAGCGAGCGGATGTAGTTGGCGTGGCCGAAGCAGGCCGACACGTTCTTCCTCACGTGCATCACCCGCAGGATGGGGCTGGGGGCTGCAGCACGTGAGGTGAGGGCCCCTCCTGCTGGCCTGCTGGGAGATGGGCGGCCAGCAGGCAGGGTCTGGGCTCAGATCCTGCCCTTTCCTTGTACAGATGGGTGAACTGAGACCTCGGGGCCTGCCTCCACGTGTCCACCCACCAGGGTGGGGGGAGAGGTCTGGGGACGTGGCAGTGGGGACGTGGCTGGGGTTAGATGCGGGCGTGCAGGGGGCAGAGGAGGGCGCTCACGTGGGGGTGTGCACGATGCGGATGATGCATTTCCTCTGGGGCTGTGTGGGCAGCCACGAGCGAGCCAAGTCCACCAGCAGCCCGGCGTCCAGCAGCCCGTAGCCGTAGTGGTGGCTCACTGTGTGGAGGGGCGTGGTCATCGCCCTGTGGGCGTGGCGTCCCCAACCCCACCCGTTCTGCCGCACCTTGGCGCCCCACGCCGTTGGTCCTCCAGTCCTCGGCCTGGAGCTGCGCTGGCCTGGACGCCCGGACCACCAGATGCTGCATGTCCCTCCACGTCAAGAACGGGCTGGGGGTGGGTGAGGGAGGGTGAGCCGGGGCCACACTGGGGAGCTCCGGCAGTAGGCAGGACCCCTCCATCACCTACTTGGCCTCCAGAGCCAGGGCGATCATGCCCGCAGCCAGCGGGGCGGAGGCCGAGGTGCCCGTGTGCTTGTCCGTGCACCGGTGGTGCAGGTCTGTTGTGACCTGGGTGCACAGAGAGGGACTCAGGCGCCTGGTGCACAGGAAAACCCAGCCCTTGTTCAAAACGGCCCAAGTGCTCCAAGGAAGAGGCACCTCAGAGCACGACAGCATGTCTGGGGCCGTGAACACAGCCGCCCAGCTGCCAGCCCTGCCTGGGAGACACGAGGGCATGTGAAGGGGCGCCAACCGTGGGGCCTGGTCCCTGAACCCCAGTCTATGTGTCAGACGTGAACCGGGCAGCCCTGGGAAGAGGCAAGGTAGGGGACAGGAGGGAAGGCAGGGCACCGGGTGGGGCGGGCGCTCACGATTTGGGGGTTGGCAGCAATGCCGCTGCTGTAGGTAGTGGTGAGCGTGGAGGCGCAGGCCTCGCTGTACCAGGGCACGCGGCCCTGCTGGGTGGTGCTGCCCACCGAGAGCGTGTGGATGCTGTTGGTGTAGCCGTCACAGTTGCAGTTGTCATAGTGCAGGCCGCCGTTGCCCGACGCCCAGATGAAAAGGGTGCCCAGCCCGCCTCGGCCCTGCAGATGGAGAACCAGGCCAGAGACGGGGACGGGGTGTGGGCCTTGCATGCTGGCCCAGGCCCTCCGTGCCCCATACCAGCTCACCTTGGTCACACCGCGCCTGAAGGCCTCTCGGGTGAGGATGCCCGGGCCGTCCACTGTGCGGCCGTCGTCCTCGGGGCCCCAGCTGGCGCTGTAGATGTGGATGTGCTGAGGCTGCAGGCTCAGCGACTGGGCCTCGATCACGTCAGTGATGGTGCCGTCCAACATGCGCACCCCTGCACAGGCGGCCTTGGTGAACACCCCGCCTGTGCCCCGCACTCTCCCCGCCCTGGGGATGGAGGTGTCTGTGGGGGTTTCAGCTCTCCCCGACCCTTAGCCTGGGGCCCTGACATGGCCCAGTGGCTAGTGTGGGGCCAAGAGGCGCCCCACCACCCTCCTGGCCTGAGTACCTCCAATTCGGGCATTGTAGGCGACGCCAGCACCACAGAACCTGTTGTTTGCCGTCGCTGCCACTTCCCCAGCACAGCGGGTCCCATGCCTGGTGCCAGGACAGAGACAGGTGCCCGTCACAGCCCCTTGGCCCCTCGTAGGGTAGTGGGGGCTGCCCCCATGCCCTGTGGGATGCTGGGCTCACCGGTTCTCATCGCTGGATGTGTATCGCGGCTGGGGGTCCGGGTCATAGTCATTGAAGTCGTAGCTGGCTAGGGGGTCCTGGGGGGTGGAGACATGAGGGGCTGCGACCAGCCGTGGGACCTGGGGCAGCCCCCACCCAAGCCCCACAGGCTCACATAGTTGGCCCAGAGGTCTGGGTGGTCCTTCTCGATGCCGTCGTCCAGGACAGAAACCACGATGCCCTGGCCAGAAAGCCCCTGGCTCCAGACCTGCAGGATGTTCAGGTCCGGCTGCACCTCCTTGTTCTGTGCAAGGCGGGGCCGGGGTCAGTGGGGCTCTGGCCTGGCCTGGCCCCGCCGTCCAGCCTGGCCAGCTCACCATGTACCACTGCTTGGAGAACCAGGGGTCCGTGGGCACCACCAAGGAGCGTTTCACCCGCCGCTGCACCGTCTGCTGCTGGAGCCACTGCACCTGGGGGTGGGGAGACCACACCATGGGAGAGGCTGGACCCACGAGCAGCCCACCCTCCTCCCAGCTTCCTGCCCTCACACCAGGCTGCTTTAGAGGGCCCTGGCCCTCAGCCCTTCCACCAATTCCTGGTCAAAGGGCCCAAATCTGCTTCCAGGGTCTGGCATCGGCCTCTTCCCTGGATCTGCCAAGGGTCAGCGGTGTGGGGCTGAGACTTAATGTGTCTGGGCTGTCACCTACTTGTCCTGGGGCCCACATGGTGTGCGATGGGGCCAGGGACCCCGTGTTTGCTGGGGCTGCTCTTGGGGGTCCCCGTGTGCCTGGGGCTCTGCCTCCGGAGGGGACTGAAGCCCTCAGAGCACCCATCCCCTGTGGCCCACAGACATGTGGTGGCTGCTATTCAGGGTGGCTGCGGCTCCTGGGGTCCCACCCCTGCCCCCGTCCCCATCCCTGCTCTAGAATCCCTCTCCCCAAGACATGCCCTTATCCTCTTGCAGTATTCACTTCTCTCAACCGCACCCTCCCTGGTGCAGGACACCCCTGTATGGCCACACCCACCTCCTCCCTGGTCTTCCAGCAGCCCTGCCCTGCTGCCTCTCTACAGCCCATTCTTGGCACACTGCAGCATTACTCTCTGTGGAACCCTCTCTGTGAAACCCGTGCCTGTCCAACACCTCTCCAAAGCCCACAAGGCCCCCTGCCTGTCTGGCCCCCAGCAGCCTTCCTCTGCTGCAGCCACAGTGGCTGCCTCACCCCAGGGCCTTTGCACATGCCCTTCTGCCTGCCCCAGGCCACCCTTTCTCAGACCTTTGCCCTTTCCCCATTTTCCTTGTTCTGCTCCCAATACCCCCCCAACCTGGTTCATATTCCCCCATCCCCATCTCAGCAATCAGGGCCACCTTCTCCCCGTTTTCTCAGCTCCAGATCGTGATTTCTCTCTGTCCCACACATCCAATCCTGGCCTCTGTCCTGCAAACCACGTCTCAAACCAACCACTTCTCTCTGTCCCAGTGCTCCTGGTGGGGTTTCCAGCTGTCATGCTTCTTGCCTCCTTACCAATCAGCACCCCTCCCCCAACCCAGCCTCTTTATGGGGTACCTGGGAACTTTGATCTTTCAGGGTGAGATAGAAGAGGGAAGGGGAGGTGACAAGAAATTGTTGACAGTGCATCTGCCCTGGGGTGAGTGCTCTGCACAGATCTTCCCCATTTGACTCCCCACTGTATAGACTAGGGGGCCAAATGGACACCAAGACTCAGAGAGAGCTGGTGACTTGCCGAAGGTCACACAGACATTTATTACAATTACAAGAATAACGAGAGGTGCTGACATCCCTCAGGAGGCAGCCTCAAGGCCAGGCTCACCTTGGGGTCTTTCTTCAGGCGCAGGCGGTGGCCCCAGTGTGGGGTAAGGGACTGCTGGACCACACCCCGGTGCCGCAGATGGAAATACTGCCCATCAGGGAAGATCTGGGAATAAAGGGGAGCAGCTACATGGCTGGGACCTGGTACCCCGATGGAGTCCCTCCCAGGACAGGGGCCAGCCCCCCTTCCTTATGTTTCCCTCAACCAGGTGCCCAGGTGGGAGCTTCAGATGCCCTCTGAGGGTCCCAGGATCTGGAGATGGTCTAGGCAGTAGTGAGCTGGGGGGTCCTTGATATCTGGGGAACCTAGCGAGGTACCCTCTCATCTGCCGGGGTCTGGGGTCGTCCAGCCCTCGCCCCCTCCCGTCAGTCCGGGTCCCACCCACCGGCCCCAGGTTGACGAAGCCGAATTTGCGCGCCAGGCGCTCGATTTCCTGGTAACCCTGGGACACCCGCACGGCCCAGCTGCTGACATAGATGGGAGCCCGGGGTGAGGTCCAACCCACAGCCATGGGGCCAACGAGTGCCAGGCCCAAAGCCAAGGTCAGGCGCAGCCAGAGCGCACTCCGGGCGGGCCGCATGCCGGCGGGGGCGTGGCCTCAGAAAAGCCCCTCCTCCTGGCCAAACCGCCGAGATGGCCCAAGCGCCCGCCCCGCCCCCGGCGCCGTAGCAACCCCTGAAAGCCTTCAACTCCCAGGGGGCCTTGCAGCTCCCCAACTTGATGGGCGCGAAGATCTGACAGCAGGGTGGGGGAGAGGCATGCCCACCCTATTCTTCCGCAGACTCGAACCCTCTGGAGCCTCAGTCTCCCCATTTGTACAATGATTCACCAATTCTTCTGACCCAGAGGTGCGGGTTCACTGTTGCTATAATTGACCCCGCCCCTTATTTTGCCCCGCCTACTTTCCTATACACCCCCCCACCCCTAGAATAAGCCTTGCCTCCTCCCTGGTCCAACCAGAATTGCTCTTTCGAATAAGTCCCACCTCCTCATCTTAGCTCCGCCCCACCCTGCCTTTCAGATTCCGTCCCTCCTCCTTTACGTTCAGCCCCGCCCCCTCCCTGTTTTTGCTAATAAATCTCTTCTCGTTTCTCCAATCAGCTCTGGCCTTTCTCCAGCCCCTCCCACCAGCTCCGCCTCCCCAGCACTCTTCTCTCCTCACCCAGCTCCACCCACAACGGCTCAGCGAATAATCCCCGGCCATGACCCCGCCCCTCCAATCAGTTACGTCCCGCTACCGCTGGGCCAATCGGCGTCCTCAGCCCCCGCGCCCCGCCTCCTTCCTCCAAAGGGGCGGCTGCGGCAGCCGCGGCCAGCCCTGGGGCAATGCGGCGGAGGAGACGGGGCAGGCCCCACCTCCTTTGTCCTCCCTGCCCTCCCATTGGCCAGAGAGGGGGACAGGAGGCGGAGACCAGCCCGGGGGCGGAGACCAGCCCGGGGGCGGAGACCAGCCCGGGGGCGGAGAGTGGCCCCGGGGTCCGGCGGTGCGGCTCGCGTGGACGGAAGGCAGCGCGCAGGCTCTACGGCAGGTGCACGGGGTGGCGGTCAAGTTCAAGCTGCCAGCCCCGGGCCCGCCGGTGCCATGGATGGCCTGCGCCAGCGCTTCGAGCGCTTTCTGGAACAGAGGAATTTGGCCACCGAAGCGCTAGGGGCGCTCGAAGCCAAGACCGGTGTCGACAAGCGGTACTTGGCCGCGGGTGAGCCGTCGGGGGGGCTCTCGGGGCCGCCGCCCCATTTCGCCGACGGGCACACTGAGGCCGTGGGCTACCGGGGCCTCGGACCTGCACCCTCCGGCCAGCTCCGGCTGCGGGGTCCAGCTCAGGCGGCGGGGCGCGCCCACAGTTCAGGAAGGAGACTGCGATTCTGGGTAGGGTCGTGGACCGGGACCTTGGGTCTACCTGCAGCCCCTCCCCGCCCCCGCTGTGCGACCTCGGTCGAGGACCACCCCCTCTCTCGGCCCCGCAGCCGTCCTCTGCTCCCTCCCTCCGGGCCCTGGGTGCCCGCCAGGCAGAAGTCCGGTTCTTCCAGTTGTCCTACTGGCCCCGGGGGAGGACGGGGCAGGTAGGCAGCCAGTGCCCTGCCAGTCTTGCCACCCTCTTCCCGGATGGACTCCAGCATGGAAGCAAGTGTAGAGATCTTCCCGTTTTCCCAGGGGATGCTCCAGACATGGAGGGGAAGGGTCACTCCCACCTTCCCTCAGGTTGTTTTCCTGCTAATATCACCCGCTACCCCTGCCCTTGGCCTGCCCTCTCCCCTCCCCCATCCGGAGTTGGGTTGTTTGACTACTGTGGTGGGGTTGAAGAAGGGTTGGATGGGGCCCACGGAGAGGGAGGTCCAGCCACCCCGATTGTCACTTCCATTCCAGTCCCTCCTCTGCCTTTCTTCCTCAATGACCTTGGGTGGCCCCTGCCACCCTCTGAAACTGTCCAGTAAGTGTTCCTTAAGTGCCTCCCCTCTTTTTTGGTGCTTCAGACCCGACTGCCCTCTGCCACCTCTTCCAGGAAGCCCCCCTGGAATGAATCACAGGACACTTTGTTCGGACACTGGGGGGCAGCTCTGGCTGAGGACATGCCACGTGTTTTGAGCCCTGTGTACAGATCCTTAGAGTCCCCTTTCCTCCCATTTCCCTGCCAGCTGGGGGATTCCCATGCCAGACAGCCCAAGGAAGTTCCAAAACCTGTCCCCCCAGCTTCCTAGTGCCCAATCTGTGTCGGGTCAGCCAGGGACCTGCCCCTGAGAGCAAGCCCTTGACCTCCTGCCTGTTTTTCAACATCCCTGATACCAGTGGGCGGGGAATTTAGGTCATAGAACACAGGGGAGGGGCCTGTTGGGAGGGGCCTGCTGGGTAGGCTGGGGGGTCACAGGGAGGAAACCGAGGCCTGGAGTGGGAGGCTGCCCCTGCTGTCTGCCCTGTCTGGAGCATCCACCCCCACCCCACCCCAGCCCCGTATGCTGCTGATTGGACTGTCCCCGCCCATGTCCAAGGTCATCCTCCCTTTGCTGAGGCTGCAGGAATAGGGATTGAGCGGAGAGGGGCCCTGGGAGAGCTGCTTCTCCCCAACTAGCAGCAATTGCCAGGGAAGGGGTGCCATTTCCCCCACCCCCCTCTCCCAGATGTCAGAACCCTTGGGCCCCACCGGCCTGAGACGGCCAAAATACCCCCTCCCAGGTAACTGAGGAGGAAACCCAGAAGAGGCAGTGACCAGGCCTCCTAGGGCCAGCTGGGGATTCCCCTCCCTCTCCTGACCCCAGACCCCCAGGATAAAGGCTAATGCAGATGGAGGGGAGGGTGGAGAGAACTCTGCCCTTTGGTCCACTAGTGGCTTCTGTCTCTCTCTGCAGATAACAGCCTGGAGGTGGGGGAAGAGGCTGTAAATGCTCCCAGGAGCCAGAGGCTCCCCGAGTGATGAGCATGAGCCTCTTCCGCCACCCCCACCCCCAGCTTCCGTTTCGTCCTGGCTGTTGAATGAGACAGAGCAGGGAGGGACAGAGACCTGCACACAAGAAGCGCTTCATAAATGCAGCAGCGACCATTATGATTTCAGAGTGGCTAACGCTCCTGGCCCCCATCCCCCACACCGTTCTCCTCTGAGCCCTCATTGCTGGGAGTGTGCTTGGGCCACCGGAAGGGGTTCCCTAGACGTGTAGGGCGGGGTCCCTTCTACTGAGTCTTGTTTAGCTAACTCCACAGCAGCCCTAGGAGACAGGGCCACTACCCGCCCCACTGACAGTTGGGGAAACTGAGGCTGCAAGCAGAGAGACACTTGCTAGGTGTCTCATAGTGGGTGAGAGCCCTCCTCAGTCAGGGGGACTCTCAATACGGCGCTTTGCATCCTCCCACTAAGACAAGGGCTCTCAGAGGGGGCCGTGCAGCCCCCAGGAGACACCGGTCGATGTCTGGGGACATCTGATGGTCACGACTGTGGGGGGCTCCTGGCATCAAGTGGGTGGGGACCAGGGATGCTGCTCCACACCCCAGATGCAGTGCCCAGGGTGGTTCCCCCCGCCCCAGAGTCAGCAGTGGTGAGGGGAAGAGACCCTGGACTAAGAAAAAAGTTAGAAATTGTTGCCTTTCTCTGCTCTCCAGGAATCATGCCTTGGTTTTTCTCCCATTTACTTATATTCAAACTCTAGCCTCTTGTGCTCAGCTCCTCCTATAGGACCCAGAGTGAGGTGGTTATAATTGCAGAGATCACATATTCATTCAACAAACACGGGGCAGCCACTCAGTACAGACCAGTCCTAAGGTGCCGGCCTGCCCTTGGGGAGCTCACAGTCCCGCGGTGGAAACTGACATGTTAGTGGGGTTCAGGGCCACGATGAGGGTTGCCCAGGTGCTGCAGGGCAATAACCCCTCCTAGAGGGGCCGCCGAGGCTTCTGGGAGGAGTGATGGATGCAGGCTGCATGGGCCAGGCCAAGGGGGCTCTGGAGACTGGGCTCAGCACGTGCAGCCCACACCCAGCCCCCTCTCCGCAGGAGCCGCCGCTCTGCTAAGCCTGTATCTTCTGTTCGGGTACGGGGCGTCTCTGCTGTGCAACCTCATCGGCTTTGCATACCCCGCATATGCTTCGTGAGTGCCCGCTGGTTTGGGGGCGCGGGGAGGGACGTCTGGGGCTCTGAGCAGCCCCTGACCCTGCCTTGCCTCCCCCAGGATCAAAGCTATCGAAAGCCCAAGCAAAGAAGACGACACTGTGTGGCTTACCTACTGGGTGGTGTACGGCCTGTTTGGGCTGGCCGAGTTCTTCAGCGATCTACTTCTGTCCTGGTTCCCTTTCTACTACGCGGGCAAGGTGGGCACCACCCGGGACACACCGTGGTGGCTGGGGTTCCCAGGAGCGGGTACCCAGGGGTGTCTGACGGGGTAGGCCAGGCCCATCCCCAGGGGTGTCTGATGCGGAGGCCAGGCCCATCCCCAGGGGTGTCTGATGAGTGTGGCCAGGTCCACCCCAGCCCAGCATCTGATGGAGGAGACCCCCCCCAACCCGAGGCACAGAGTGGGGGCCAAGTGGAACTCCTGCCCTGTGTCCGCAGTGCGCCTTCCTGTTGTTCTGCATGGCTCCTGGCCCCTGGAACGGGGCTCTCGTGCTGTATCATCGCGTCATACGTCCACTGTTTCTAAAGTATCACGAGGCCGTGGACAGCATCGCGAGCGACCTCAGCGGGCGGACCCTGGACGTGGCGGCCGGAATAACGAGGGACAGTGCGTGCTCGCAGGGCGAGGGGTGTCTGTCTCTCCGGCCTCTGTCTGTCTGTCTGTCTCCCGGCTCCCCCTGCCCCACTCACCTTCATTCCTGCCTGCTGTCCTCCTGACTCTGACTGGGCTCTGTCTGGCGTCTGGACCGCCTCCGCTGGGTGCTCGCTAAATCTTCCCCTCTCACTGTCCGCCTCTGTCTCCTACGCTCTCCGGAACCAGTCCTGCAGGCCCTGGCCCGCAGCCGGGCTCTCATCACCCCGGCGGCTGCGGCGGTGGGCCCCTCACTGCCCTCGGAGCCGACTGTACGTAATGCCCGCCCCTGGGAGGTAGGGAGGGCCCACACGTGTGTGCGCACGTGCGTGTGTGCGTGCGTGTGTGTGTGAGTGCCGGCACCTGCCTCTCTCCCTGCCAAGGCCGGCTGTTGGCCACTCAAGTGAAGCTGGCCCCCGGCAGTCCCCAGCAGCCTCTGTCCCAGTCTCCACCGGCTTAGCGCAGCCCTTGGGCCCCTGGACACAGCCAGACCCGCCTCACTCACCCTCAGGGCGCTCTCTCCACAGTCAAAGCAA